ATAGACAAATATTAATATATATATTCACGCTTTATACTTTGCATCTGCACACAAATTCTACAGCCAAGACCTGCAGTTCTGTGCCTTTTCATACTGTTAAGCAAAACCTAAGCAATTGTCAGCTTTTAATTACACGTGGTTAAGATTCCTAGACTTTTTTTTTTTTTTTAAAGAATTGAAAAATACTGTTTAGAAGTATGTTTGGTAAAGTTCATCACTGCACGTGGTACAGTCAAACCTGCTTAAGTGGTACTCATCAGCTGCGTCATGATGGAATGTCTAATGACAGATTTCTTCAAATGAAAAATCCAGACAATTGAGAGGTATGCATAAAACTTGTCTTAAATATTTGAAGCTACATGTGCAATCTTACAGAACACAAGCTACAGTTACAGACATAACATTAAATCTTATCAACCAATAGTGCATAAGAACTTAAAAAGAGTCAAGTGAAATCAGTTCAGCCAGTGACTTCCGAAAAAGTCACTCAACTGCATTGTGAGGGAGAAAAAAGAAAGTGGGGGGGGAATCCTTCTTAGGCAGGTTTAACACAAAGTTTTAATCTACATTTTAAAAGCTGTTTTATTATATATATATACTATGTATAAAATAAATTAAAAAGGGGGAGGAGGAAATAGCTTCGTATATGCTTCAAATTAACATAGACCAGTAGTTCCATAAATGAACATTTTACCATCTTTGTGGTAAAAAGTTGACATAAAAGTTCAAAACCATACAATACTTATAAATAGAAAGAGTTCAAAAGATACGTTTTTTTTAAAAAATGGAATTTAAACATCATTTTCCCTTCCCCTACAATACACTTTAATTTTGTATGTCAGCATCAATGCATTTACAGAGCATTTGAATGTCACATCCACAGAATCAATAACAAAGCAGGTAAAAGGGCTAGCAGTGTTAAAATTATTTTCTCCCAAATAACTCTACCTGCTCCTCAGCCTTCTCCTGAAATGAAGGCTATCAACATTCATAACCAGGTATGAGGTATGGGCAGAAGAAAATCTGCAACCGGTACTTTCCAACCCGCCTTGCTTCTAAAAATATAGCTACAATATAGCAACAATCTGTTGATTTGGAAATTGACAACGGTGGCGGACAATCTCTTACCTCCAATCAGCTTGTATATAATTTAATCCTGGTATTTAAAAAAAATGAAAACCGAAACACAGTACTAATGCTTAGCTTAAATAAATTAAAAAAAACCCAAACCAAAACAAAAAAAAACCAACCAAAAAACTCCAACTTTAAATCTTCTTTGAAACCATGTTTAAATGTTCTTGTTCCTGATTTAAAGCTTCACATAAAACACTGGACAGAAGGATAACAATTTTAAACCAAGAGAGCACCTAAAAACATACCATAGGTAAAAATGAAACCAATAATCTCTTCACTTCATAAAAACATATAAACCCTGTCAGCAACAGTAGTACACTCAGAACGAACAACGTGAAAAGGAGCATCTAGAATACTCAAGAGGCTTGCTACGCTACTTCTCTTTATTGCCCATTCTCTCATTTGTATGGATAGCCACTGCATGACAAGATGCCTGTGATAGTTCTCTGATCTTCCTTTCACCACTGCTGCCAGCTGAAGTCGTCATTGCTGCCAAAGACCAAGAAAAATCCTAGGATCGTGGCAAAGATGACTGTATTCCCCGTAAGAACGAGTGCACATGCGCCCCAGTAAATCTGTGAACAAGGAGAATTTAGTTAGAAACGTTTTGAACTGCATACTGACAAGACAAAACGCAACATCTTATTGTCCCATTCTAGACAAAGTTCAGTTAACATGTCCGTGATGCAAGAAGGTGGTATCTCATTTATTGTGGTTACACCAAGAAGGCCAGGTTTACCCAAAATTATTTGATCAGTTCACAGCCAGCCAAGCAGCACAAGTTTTTCTAGCCCTATTCAAAGCGCTGGCTAGCAGGCACAGCTGTTTTGGTGTATAAAGTAGGGCCAGGCTACAGCACATCTGCAACCCAGTTATACTGCCAACCATGCTGTAAGACCTTTTTAAACAGACATTTAAGGTCTTCAAAACACGAGCAGATATGCCAGCAACAAAGAAAGAGGTGGATGTTTGCCAGGGAGAGGAAGTGGATTACTCAAAGGGTGTGAGGCACTCAAACTGACCGTCTGAGCTGTTCTTGCCTAAAGGCATTTATGAAAATGCACTCCACGTTTTTCCGACTTGGTATTGCTTTTTAAAGTTCACACAGAAAAGGTGAACTTTTAAAGTGTTTGAGTGAAAAGCTATATAGTGGGAAAGATGTAATGAGAACTCGGAAGTTTAAAAAAAAATAACACCAATATAATTTATAGCGAGTGCAAAAAATGCACTGGGGTTTTTTGGGGGGTTCGGGGTTTTTTCTGTTGTTTATTCATACTGCTTTAGCCCAACTATTCCACAAACTGCTTTCAAAGTATTCTTTACACTTTTATATTTGATTACTTGCCTATTAAGTTTTCACAGTATTTTTTAATCTCATTTTCTCTGCATTGCATACAAGGCTGATAGGGTTTATTCCATGACCGTGTGAAGCATCTGGCAATCACCATGCTCTGCCAGGTTCCCATTTCTGTATTAGTTTTTCTTGTCAAAAGAACTCCTATTCTGTTTCCACTGCAAATGTCTTAAGTATGCAGTTATAAGAGCTGTTTAGTGCGTGAGAGCTTTACCTTCAGTAAAAAAAAACAAACATCAGAAGCAAAGTTTTCTAGGGAAAAAAAAAAAACAAAACAAACAATCATAGGTTGAAATATTACTAACCAGTGCTGCTCTTGCAAACACTATCGGTAGCCCAAATGCTGACACCACAATGCCTGTTGTAAGGAATATTGCTAGCTCCTTGCAGGCATTACTTGTAGCATCTGTGTCATCTACTAATCTTCTTGCTATGCAGTACGGGATAGGAGACAGGATGTAAAAAACAGAACAAACAGTGGCCAGTACTGGCTGAAAAAGAAAGGAGAAGAAAAGTTTAAGTTAACTTGATTGACTTCCTGTCTTTCCTAAAATCAACACAAGGCATTTTCCCCATCCAGCATCCACATTCAGGACAGACAGACACAAACCCAGAGAAGGCAAATCCTTTGCTTTGGAACAAGCTGACGTTAATCCAGCAGAACATGTTTGTGAGAGGCTTCGGCTGACCTCAGCAGCAGCAGAGTTCACTAACAGGGTATTCATACAGCAAGATTTCACTATGCAAGCCTAAATCTAATGCCACCTAACAAGATGAGCTTAAATCCAAAGTTTATCCTGTCTGCTGTGCCTAAGAATTGCAGAGATACCTTTGCAGAGCCCTTACATCATTTTGTCCATAGGCTTTCAGTGCACACACGTGGGACAGAGCATCGTTCTCAGACAATACTGAGCCACCACGGGAAACCAAGACATTTTTTTTCCACTTTTTTTAAAATCTGAATGCAACCAGCAGACACCTACAAAAACTAGACCATCATTTTGGCAACACTTTCTTTTTTTGCTTGCAGCTCACCAGACTGGATTTCTCAGGCACATAAACGCAGGTGCACATTGTTTCAATAAAACTTTACTGCATTGTTTGAAGGGCAACTGCACAGTGATCTCCCTCCTAAGGGTTTGTGTCACCAGCACTGGTTTTATAACACAAGAGAGATGGCATAAGAGTTCTAGTCATATATGTAGAGAACTGAAATTCACAACCAATAACCAATAATTTAATGTTATTTAACATTCAATAAGTCAATTTAAAAGACTTTATCTGTAGAGTCAGCATTCACTTGCAAAGAGTCAAAGCCACAGGTATAACTACCTGCACTTTTGGTCTGCTACTTTGTATCTCCTGAGAACTAAAGGATAGAAATGGACATACCTAAAGTACAGACAGCAACGCAGCTACTCCAGATGCCACGTTACCGGCGTGGGACACAGCCAAAGGTCCACCTGGCAGTCACTGACAGCCCAGCTACCACTACGCAGCCAGGGAAAATGCAGGTGCTTCCCTGGATAACACACGCTTGCTGCCTACCTCAGGAGTTCCTGTTTGTCAGCCACAGACAATAGCTGGGACATGTCAGGGCAGCGCACCCTTTAGCAGTCTGCAGTCAGGCCTGGTAGTTAACTTTTGTTGCCATCACTTTTACGATGAATTAAATCCTGGATGGTCTTTTTCCCACCCCAATCTTTGGAAGCAAAAAACAAGGCAAACCCGAAGACACCTCCTACAGAGAGAGGACTTCCCAATCCACAATTGCCTTGGCAGGGGGATTGGACTAGATGATCTCCAGAGGTCCCTCCCAACCCTAACGATTCTGTGATTCTGTAGGCATGAAATCCAAACCACTCTGGGGTTATTGACACAAAACACAAGACACAAAGAACAGGAAGAGAGTGCACGTTACTTGTATTGGGGAAGGGCACACCCAAGCATCAGGAACATCAGTCCGACCGCTCCGCCGAAGGACAGGCTGATCAGGGCTGCAACGAGAGAACAACAAGCGGACCGCGGATGAAGGGCGCGCCGCGCCGCACGAAACACCGACCGCGACGTCCCCGCTCAGCGCGGCCCCGCCCGCCCGGCACGGCGGTGGCACGGGGGGAGCACGGGGGGGGTACGGAGGGGGCACGGGGAGATGGCACGGGGAGATGGCACGGGGAGATGGCACGGGGAGATGGCACGGGGAGCTCCCGCGGCGGCCCCACCCCGCGCCCCGCGCGCGCACCTTTGATGCCGGCCATGGCGCCGCCCGTCCCGCGAGCCGCGCGGCACCGGAGGGGCGCGCGCCGGGAACCGGAACCGCCGCGCGGAACCGGAAGCCGCTGCCGCGAAGGGGCGGCGCGCCGCCCGCGTGACCCGCCCGCGTGACGAGCCCGCGCGCGCCACGATCCCGAGACGGCGGCGGCCCCGCCCCCCCGCGCGGCGCCCTCGTCGCCCATTGGCCCCACGGACTGCTGGGGGCGTGGCCCAGGAGAAGCTCCGCCCCTCCCTCTATGTCACCCCCCACCACCACACCGGGGCGGAGGGTGACGTAGCGCGGTGCTGTCATGGCGGCCGCCCCCGCGCCCCTCGTTGTGCTCCTGCTGTGCGCCGCCGCGGGCCCCGCGCGGGGCTGGGACCGCCACGGTGAGACCCGCGGGGGGAAACGGGGCTCGGCGCGGGGGAAGGGGTGGTTGTGCCGGGGCCCGCGCCAGGAGGGCGTTTGGTCTGGGGCTGCCTTTAAGGCGGCTTGTGCCGCAGCAGTAATCCCGCTGTGCGGTCGAGGGTGCTTGCGTGCCTAAGAGGAGTAGCCCAGAGCCCCCTCGGAAGGGAAGGAGGGAAATGACGTGTTTCCCTCTGCGCATCTGGTGCTTCCTGGGGCTTTGCCTCCTGAAGAAGCGGGTTACCGCTGCGGCCTCTGTACGGCCAGTCTTGTCCTGAGAGGAGGCCTTTGTGGCCAGGGGGAACGCACCTGGACACGTGCTGACAAGCATTAGGAAGAATTTCTTCGCAGGAAGGGTGATTACACATTGGAATGAGCTGCCCAGGGAGGTGGTGGAGTCACCGTCCCTGGAGGTGTTTAAAGAAACACTGCATGTGACACACTTAGTGCCGTGGTCGAGTTGACGTGGTGTTCGGTCATAGGCCGGGCTCGGTGATCTCAGAGGTCTTTTCCAACCCAGGTAACGCCGTGGTTCTGACGTTTGTGCTCCCCGTTTCAGAGAAGGTTTTGCTGAGGGACGTGCAGGCGCTCACTCTCCACAGAGGGCAGTACACCACGTCGCGGCGGACACCTGCGGTCCCGCAGCTGCAGTGCACAGGAGGCACTGCGGGCTGTTCCCGCGTTCCTGCGGTGGTTCAGTGTTACAACAAAGGTTGGGATGGCTATGATGTACAGGTAACTGTTTAAAACTTGTTAAACTGTTAATGAAATAATCTTCCCCCACACTCGGTGATTTCTGAAGAAGAGAAGAGCTATGGTGTCAGTACAGCTTGCTTTTTGTTAGATGACCTTTGACGACAAAAACTTAACCTAAATACTTCTAGGCTTGCATTTTCCAGAACTACTGTATGTATATGTTTGAAATGTCCTTGAAGGTGCTGATGTAAAAACACAGCACAGCAAACCTTCATTGGTTTTAAATAAAATGGTGCTTGAGTTTATAAAATCAAACTCTGGCAAACCTTAAGAGGGTGCTCTTGGAATTGATATTGCTGTGTGGATTTCCATTTTTTATTGGAGTAGAAAGGGATTATAAATAGTTGCTTCACTTCAGCTCTGCCTTTTAAACACTTAAGTTTCAGGTTTGCATGGCTTCCTCCTGCACCTTAAGATCTTAGTGCTTGTCAGGAAGTCGTCACTCCTCTTTGTTTTGTTAGCTGTTAGCTAAGCTCCTGTCAGTAGATAACCAGGAATCAAGGCTGAAGGTGAGTGTTGAAACTGACACAGTACTGTAAAAGAACAGTCAAATTTGAATTGACAGTTGGTACTGCTGTCCTGAATTATTAATTTAGAAATTACTACTTTTTTTATTTCCTCTCCAAAATATGTGTCACTTGCAGTTAGAGATGGTAAGTTCAGGTAACCTCAAGGAAATGTGAGGCTGAGGAATCCACATGTTTTCAACTGCAGAACCTGCAGCAGGATTGTTAAATGTTTCATTTGAATGCCTAATGATGCCTGTCCCGGTTTCTTTTGGTTTCTGCATAGACACAAACTGAATCGGGCACACTGAATTTGAGGATCACATGTTGTGTTTTTGTAGCTGCCATCACGTTTGGACAGGACAGGCATTTATTAAGTAACTGTTGCACAGTGTATGGCATGTTTTTAGAAGTATTGCATTGTCTAAAGAAGGAATGTTTTAAAAACCTGTCCAGTGAAGAAAAACAAAATCTTCCAGTCGTAATTCTTTAGTGTTCTGAAAGATCAGAAATTTTTTTAAGTTGTAGCATTTAAAAATCATCTTTAATTAACAACAAATTCCTACTCCTTTTCATAATAAGTGCTCAGAAATTTCTTACCATGTGGCCCCTTAGATAATTTGTTAGCAATCACAGCTTTATTTCAGAGCGTATTTGGGAAAGCAGACAGGTATTTTAATCTCCGGAGCAGAAGATTTTACTTTGCATTGTGTTTGTTTTTTCAGTGGCAGTGCAAAGCAGACTTGGACAATGCCTACCGCTTTGGACACATAGAAGTCAGCTGTGAAGGCTACGATTACCCGGATGACCCTTACATCTTGAGAGGCTCCTGTAGCTTGCTGTTCAGGCTAGAGCTGACTGAGGAAGGTGAAAGGAAAGTGAAGAGCTCTGGAAGCTTTGGCTCTAGCTATTATCAGTCAAGGCAATCAGATTCTTCTGATTCTGGTTCTGGAGCCATTGTTGTAATAGTTCTTCTTGCTCTTGCTTTTGGAGTATACAAGTTCTTCCTCAGCAACCAGCAGCCTCAGCAGAGTCCCGGTGACAGTGATGGATTCGCGAGGCCTTTCTGGCAGAGTCAGCAGGCACCTCCTCCTCCTGGCTTTAAGTCCAGCTTCACAGGTAGGGCTCTGACCTGTTCTCTGTACTCAAAAGAGCAAGCAGGGTTGAACTGTTTTATCTGCAGTAGGGGCAGGTGGGACCAACTTAAAACCAGAGTGTTGGCAGTTGACTCTGCCGAATTGGCTGCAGATCCTGCAGACAGCTTTGCGTTCTGTTCTTTGTTCGAAAGAGAAAATAAGGACTTGGTTTTCCACAGGCTTTCAGGGCGGCTGTGCAGCAAGCTGCCCTTTGAACCTTTGAAAGTCCATCTTCCCATGCTCTGCAAGTGTTCTTTTCATACCCTGTGACATAGGAGGATTATGACGGGGAGAATAATTTTCATAGGTAATCTGGAAGAAAGAATGGTCTTATGCAGCCAGAAGCAAACCCATTCCAAAGAGGTGCTTTGAAACCTTACAGAAGGATCTTTCAGCACTGATTTAATTCACAAAGCAGTTAATGGAGTTGAGTATCATATAAAAGCCCTCTGGTTAACAAGTGCTTCAGTGTCGTCGCAGTGGCTGAAAGATTTGGTTCCCAGAACAGAGAACAGTGCCTGTGAACTGGCATTAGAGGTGCATCATGTGAATCTCACGTGGGGCTGTTCATCTGAAGTTGTAAGCAATAGATAAGCAATGACAAGGCTGCTGCTAGGAAAGGGTGTACTTCTTCTTCCAGAAAATTGACGACTTTTGTCACTTAATAAATGGTCTTCCTTAGGGAATCACGGTGTCTAAGGTACATAAACATTGCACATCTGGTGACATAAACATTGCACATCTGGTGTCTGACCAACTGATTTAACCCTGTGCACATGCAAGCTGCTCGCAAGCACTGAAACTTGAATTATATTCTCACAAGCTACATAATTTTTTTTTTTTTTTGTGAGATAGAGAAAGGGTTTTAGCAAGAAAATATATAGCAAAGATTAAGTTTACTTAGTTTATATTTTAGTAATGCTTATTAATGGTTTCTTCCAAGTTTTACTCAAGCTGCTTGGCCAACAGAGGGTGCAGTGTAACTCTTTGGGATACCCTTGTGCAGGGCATGCCCAGCAGAAACGTTCAGATAGATGTACCTGCACCAGAAAATTAAAGGGATTCTGCTTCCATATTACTGTTGGCTTTGCAAACTGGTTTCCATGTAGTTGTTTCGAGCTGTCTGTGTATGCTTCATGTGCATAAGTGACCCTGTGTAGGCACTGCCACTGGCATTACTGTGGTAGTCAGTGGAGCCCTGGTCATAAGACGGGGCTCTGTCATACTGGGCACAGGCAAAACACTGAAGACTTACTTTCGTTTTTTTCTGTCCTGTTCCTTGTCGATTAATTGCACCAATTGTTATGCGATTTCATTGCATTTAATGTCTGCCTTACATTCTGGCAGCAGAGCAAAAGCACATCTCTGAGTGTGTATGTCCATGTGTTCCCAGGAAGGTATTCATCTTTGGAAATCTGGACAGTAATGGAAAGCAGTGTTCATGTATTGCTGTTAATATTTAATTTGCCTCATTTTAAATCCTCTTAACATGCAGAGTGTGTCCTGTGAAACTAGTTTAGCCAGCCTATCTTAATTAAATTCTGCTTTCTCTCTGTTTGTGGTTTGACATGATTCTTAATGTTTACTCTAGATATTTCAACAAAAAATGACTCAGTTTTCTGAGTGAGTGTTCAGTCATGGTGCTTTTGAACAAATCAGTTGGTTCATCTCTGAATTAACGTGGTTTTTTCCAGTAAAGGAAGTGCTTTTTTTTAATTCAAATCAGCATAACTAATATATCATCCCAATGAGAGTTTATCTTTCCATGCATTCAAAATGAAATTCAATATCAAATCTAATGCAGACTGATTATTTCATACCAGTTTGAAGACAAACCAGATCCTCCATAACTTTTACTTACGTCATCTCTGGTCCACTTGTTCAGGTGGGCATGTTTCAGGGAGACTCTAATGTTATCTTCCTTGCTTTCTGTACTTCCTTATGTGTTAAACCTGTGGTTGAGCTTATTCTTACATTTGTGTTTTTCTCTAGACCAGAAAATTATTCTACTTTCGGGTTGTATTTTCTCTTTTTATTTCTAAATGGAAGACGTTCAGTTCTGACTCAGAACCTCATGTTAAGCAGGTCACATGTAAAAAATATGTGACTCTCCTTCCCCCACAACCTACTTGATATGCTTGCAGTTTCATCAAGGTATTTGTCAAGCTGGTGACTCATGCATAACAAAAACTTAGCAATGTGATTGCAGTTAACATGCCTTTTGATAACAAATCCCAGACTAGGATTACTAGGAACAATACAAGTAATGTTAGCCATTACACTGAGCCACTGTGACTCAAATGGTGCAGCTGTACTGAGTGAGATTAGAAGCTGTATGTCTTTGTGGTTTGCTCACTTTGTAGTCTTACCTCTTTGATTTCTGCTCCTGCATCTGTCTCTGGCCAGCTATGTGACCTTCAGATTATTCTTTCTTCCTTTCCTTTTCTATTTTTACTCTTACTTGTCTGTTTATAGATCAGCAGGCAGGGACTTTCCATGTTTTGTGAACGTCAGGGCTGTGAGATGGAGTGGAAGTAGATTTTTAACATAAAACTTCTCAAAGCGGTGTTCATTTCTGTGTTTTTTCTTGCTTTCTGAAATGTGAGGCCTCTCAAGTTAAGCTTGATCAAGAATCTACTGGAATTAGGAGGAGCTTTTTTAATTTTCCATTATCTTTTAACAGGAGAGAATCTTGTTGCAACAGCTGGCCTGAGGATTAGGCTACTAACTGATGTTTCCTACTTTCATTTTGTTTAAGATGACAACAGCTTTGGAATGCATTCCCATCATGGAACCAATTCAGGACCAGGATTTTGGACTGGATTAGGAGCAGGAGGCTTGCTAGGCTACTTGGCAGGCAGTCACAGGTAAAACATGCATCTATCAGATTTTAAGTATTTAAGCTTTCAGGGATATGCCATATGCTGTGTTGACATTGTTTCTAAGCTTTCAGGCCTGTGTTCATTTAAGCCATAAAATCCTACCACTAGAAGAATTTTGAGGAGCTATCTCTAGCCCTAGCACCAGAGACATTATAAGCACGTTTCTGGGGAAGAATTGGGAGGACTGAGGTACTTCATTCTGCTTCTCACCTGGCATGATGGCCTGCAAATTTAAATTGAGCTTTTAAACAATCTACCTGCAGACTGCCTTAAAACACAAATAGTCATATTGAGCATAAACCCATCTGTAGATAGGTCTCTTCTATCAGTGTCATCTCTGCTAAGGTCAGTCTGTATAGCAGCTGCTCTTCTGTGATAGTCGGTGAGATTAGATTAAACAGCCTTTAATCTTCAGTCTCCCAGTGGCCCATGTGTGGAAATCCAAGAGGTATGGTTTTCCAGAGGACTTGTAGGTCATACGTAAGTTGCATTTTGAAAAAATGTAACATAAACAGCATTCAAAAGCAGTTTTGTGCTGGAGTAACCGTCTGCTGGTCATACTTGCTAGACACTTTTAGGCATTTAAAATGCATTGGTTTCAGTGTAGCAGTCTGGTGCCATTTTAGGCTTCACTGGAGAAAATATGTGACTCCTGCAGGGAATCTTAAGAGCCCATGCAGTTTTCTCTTTTTATCAAATAACTGCATGTGTATTGAGTCTGTTTCTGTAGGAACATGGCAGTATAACAGATTAAATATTGTCATATACCTTGTTTTGTATTGAAAGTTTAAGATAATATGGACAGGTGTGTGTTAAAGCATCTTGATTGTAAAGTTGTGGAGTGTTTTTTTGTTGTTATTTTTTGTAATAACAGAAGCATTATATTAACTCTGCTTTCAATTCTTAAAAGGTAAAGTGTGTTAAAGGTTTTATTGTCTTGGTATTTCTTAAGTTTTAAATACATGACCCTTGTGCTTAAGCATAGTATTTTTGTAGTATCTACAAACAGGTTAGTTCATTGATTTCCACCACCACTACCCCTCCCCATTTCCATAGCCACATCTGATTGTTCAGGATTAGAGACCTAACTGAATAAGTCCAAATATATGAACAAGCTTCCTAACTTGGGCTTCTTTTCTTTTAAAACAATCTTTGGTCCACTGTTATTTAATTTGATTTCTTTTTTAATTATGTGCCTCAAAATGCTGATGCCAGAAAGCGTGAGACAGCCCTTTGTCCATTTCAGCAGCAGGAAATCCCATATCCATAGAAGCAAATAAATTAAATCAGTGAGTCAAAGATCGCGATATGTTAGAGTTACTGATACAACCTTTTCAAAATAGTTAACAGATGTTTTCTCTTGGCTGACATGGCTGGGATGTAGGTGTTGCCAAAACGCATTTAAGCTTCTGATGTCAAATTTCTTTTTTTGTCTGACAGAATCTAAAGTCAGAATTTCAGAGGGAAAACTTTCCTCATTTGCAATTGTTAAAATTGCTTTTTCTAAAGAATGAGGTTTAATTTCCTTTTGCAAGTCTACAGGTGATATTATAACAACACTGGATATCCTTGTTCTCAACATGTAAATATGTTCAATAGGGGGATTTTCAGCTTTGAAACAACTGCCTGCTTACAGTTTTCCTCAGAGCTGCAGTTGTCTTGTTTGGAATGGTATATTTTTAATTTTTCATAAGGTCACTAACAAATCTGTCCTCCTCTGTTTCACGTCAGAGCACAGCCACGTTCCCCGTATCACAGCATGTGGACAGATCCCACAGCTGCACCTCCTATGAATGGGCACTCAAGCAATTCCACACAAGGGAGCAGTTCAGGAACAAGAACTGCCTCTGGTAAGGCAAAACACCTTTGCATCTCCTGAAGCTTAAGAGACTTTGACCTACCAAAAAATGCAGACATTAGTTGAGATTCAGCAAACGTTCTTTGTTTTATTTTATCCATTGGTGAAGGTGGGCATGTAACAATGTCCCTTATTTCTGTTTCCTATGGTAGTAGGGCAGCATTGTGAGGCATGAAACTCCCCACAGGTGTATGGTGGGCATGGTACCACTGATATTGGGTTTGTCTTCAGTGGCAAGGTTTTAAGGCTTTCCCTTCTGGTGCACACTGTACATGCCCTTCTCTAGCAAACATGTACAAACATGTTCTTTGTAGAATGCAGGTTGTCTAATCTGCAAGAACAGTTTTCAGGCCAGTCAGCCCACAGCTGGTTGCTGTCCTGCTTCATGTGAATATGTTTACCTTGTCTCCCCTGCCACTTTTAGCCCTTTTAGAACTAGAGAGTTCAGTGGAAAGGCTATAGTGGAGCTGACTTTTTTTTTTCTTTGCAGGCTTTGGGGGCACGAAACGAAGATGAAATCCTTGATGTTATTACATCGGAGTCATTGAACTAAATCTTCCTGTGCACTTGTATTTATTTTTATTAATAGTAGGCTTCAGAAGGGAATGTGAAGTATGAAAGACTGGGCAAAGAGTTCCTTTCTTTCTCTGTGGAAGTGTGGATTCTTACTGCTGTGTAGCGTATCACAGGTGCTGGAACATCCATTATTTCAAATCAGCATCTTCTCATACAGAATAAACTCATCCAAGTTAAGAAAAATGATGTTACAGTGACTACATGTCTGTCTGTACTTGAGGGATTATGGCAATGATAGCCTTACCAGATTTTTAAACAAGTAGCTTACTACTCATGTTGTGGGCTTAATTTCATTTGATCCAGAATTTCTGACATGTTTTTCCCACCTCTTTCTTGGTAGTCCAGCATCCACCTGATACCTAAGGACTGCTGCTCTTTGAAGCTACTTTTGTTTGTTGTTGGAGAATTCATGTGAACTTTACTGTAAGTGCAGTCAGCTACTCAGATAAGTGTTGGAGCTTTTCCTTAGTGGAAAGAGTAAAACTATATAGAGACTAACATTAATGCGTTTGTATCTGTGCTGTGTGACTGTTGGAGCTAAAATTTGGAGATTTGAGGATGCTCCTTGTTTTAGAGCTTATTCAAGGTGACTGTGCAAACCTGGGGAATTTTGTGTATAAATTAAGGAGAAATAAATAAGTAACCTGCAAAGAGACAAGATTTTTTTTTTTCTAATTTGAACCTTTTTCTGTAAGACTGAGATAATATAAATTCAGGTAACAGCAGACATTTTGCTGGCATTGAGGCCACAGACTTTGCACTTAATGGTGGATGTTGGCAATGCTGTGAAAACTTCTGATGTGAATGGTCTGTCCTGCTAGATGACCTGTCCAGGGCCCAGTAAACCAAAGGTGCTTATTGCAAAGGGAAGGGAGTATTCTTAATGCAGAGCTGGTAGAATCTCTGGAGCACAGCTGGCCTTGATACTAAGCAAAAAGAAAAACTGAATGTCTAATGGGATGGAAACTTTACCCAGTATACTTTTTAAAAACAAAGTGCTGTTAGAGAGTGGGAAGGAGAGAGGCTTTATTCTGTGATACTTTGGGGGCTCTGAGAAGTATCGTACAGTTCTCGTGTGATTGACACTGCCCTGGGAGAGGCATTGCTGAAAAGGAAGTAGAGAAATTTCTCAGGATTGTGGGAGGAGGGTAAGAGTGAAAAATGGGCTGCTTGACCTCCAGGTCTTCTCCAGAGCTCATCCTAGTAGAGTGTAGAAGTGTGGTGTGCACAGGTTTTGTATGCTGGCAGAGCAGGAGAAGCCTAGCTTTCAGCCTTGTGAAAGTACCGTGTCTGGGAACTGAGATAAACTATTACAGCAAAAGCAGAGCACTGTTTTGCTGATACAGGTTGCACCTCCACAAGGAGATTTAGCACGTCTGATTAGTTTCTAAGAAAGTAACTTCAGCATAACTGATCAGAAAGCAATTATGAGTACAGAAAGAAGTGGCTCATATGGTAATGCCCAAGTTCAGTGTCTGGCTTACTCAAACAAAAGAAAACCAAAGAAGAAAACCAAACCAAAAAATAAACAAGGAAACAAAACCCACAAAACCCATGGAAATCTGTATGAAGTCAACAGAAGCTACGAAAAGGTGCTTGCAGTGAAAATGTTATTTTGAAAATATCAAATGAAAATTGATAACTTGAGGGTTAAATGGTGGTTTGCTTCTCAGAGCTGCCTGAGGGTTGGGGAAAAATAACTGCATTAACAGTCTGTGTTATGAACCTAAAAAGGGAAAGACCTTACTGATGGTGTATTAGAAAGTTCTACTTTTTATGAAAAGTAGTATGTGGTAAATCTCTTACCTTTTTGACAAAGGGTAGCAAAATAATATATTTTAAATGTGGAGTTTTTACTTATTTCTAAGTGTATTCAGGTTGAAACTTGTCATAGTCAATATTCTCTTTGCCACCTAATTAACTAACAATGAAACTGGATTTTTGCTGACTGGGCAGTTTGAAGCTGAAGTTTGCTCTCAGATTACAATGTGCTATGAAATGTTTTAGACAATGTTTTCATATGTATTTATATTCTGCATGAAATGGGATTTGATACATGAACCTGATGACTACTGAATGCAATTTCTGAATCTGTAGGATATTTTTGCCCTTGCCTTTGATAAAAGTGATGAAATATGTGAATAAGGAGTACTTTTGTCTTTAAAGCACTATCTTGAGGCCTGCAGGGATGGCATGTTCTGTTTTTTCAGAGTTGTCTATCTCCATCCACTTCCCATGTGATGTAATACCATCCTTTACCCCCAGACGCAGACTGGGTAAGCTGTATGTTGTTTCAATAAAATAAAACAATTCTGGGAATAGAGCTGTTGTACTGATTAGGTTTTCAATAACAAAATACTGAACTCTGTAAGGAATTAAATGCTTTCTTGTAAATCATGGGTTTGGATCTGAGTCTGCAGAAAAGCTCTGTTATGTCAGCGAGTTCCTGGTTTTATAAGGTGATGAGCTGAATCTTTCAGAAGAATTTCTAATCACTGCTGTTCCCGGTTGTGGATGTAGCAGAACTCTACACTGGTACAGCCTAAGCTGTCAGATCAGCTTCTTGCACAGAGAATTTGTCACTGCTGAATAGAGACCTGGTGTACAGATAAAGGCGGTTCAGCTGCTTGGCTGTTGTAAAGTAGGGTTAAACGGAGGCCTGCAAATTCTGTTACCAGTGTTTCCTTGGTCAAACATAAGGGATGTGGCTGATGCTCCTGAATGAAAAGAACTTGTGGAAGGCAGCTTAGAGCTCATACTTGTGAGAGGCCTTGAGCTTCCTTCCTAAGCATCAGATCTGGAAGGTCCTAGTCTGTCTTCTGCTCCTGGGCAGGGTTTTGGCAGCATCTTCACAGCAACTTCATAGTTGCAAGGCATATGTAAATGCTTAAACTGTAAAATGCTGTTGTAGATAATTGCAGTTCTATTTGGCATCTGGAACTAGTACTGCTCATACTCTGACAAGGCTTATATCCTCACACAAAGCTAAAGCTCATTACAGGAACGAAACTCCTGGTTTTACATCTGACTTCCCCTGAAGCATGTGATGAAAGAAAAAAAAGATGCACAGAGATAAGCTTTTCCCTGTGCTGTTCTGTCTTGTGACTCAGCTCCCAGGTCAGATCTTGGCTAGTTCTGCAGACTGCCTTGCTATGCACCTCGCTCTTTTCTCTAGGCGCCGTGTGTGCGTTGGACTTATCAGCAGGGCGAGATGGTAGGTTGTTGTTTTTAAAATTCTTCTATGATCATCACTTTACATCACTGAGTTTCAAAGGGGAATCAAGCCAAGTGGCACAATTTCCAGCACTAGGAGTTGTTGCACAGAGAAACTACTGGAATAAAGTAGCAAGCAATGCCTGCCTGCATAGCCGTGTAACAGCTCAAAATGCAGCATTTGCACATAAGAGTTGTCAACTTAGCATCTATTAAAAGTGCTGTATTTTTTTCTCCTTAGTAAAGCAAATTAGTAATCTTGATATTTTCAGAGTACCCTATCAACCAGTGATTGCGGTACAGAAATAGCCCAGCTGCCTAAAGTATGAACTAAAGTATATGAGCAAAACCACAAAAATCCAAAAAATCTCACAGCAGTGGAATCTGTACCAATGGACAATGCTGTTGTGTCTAATGAAATATAATGTCAGGTTCTCCTTCCATACCTATTGGGGCAGTTCAAGGTTGAGTGCTGTGTGGGAGAGGCTCTTTATCACTCAGTCTATTTTGCTGAAACCTTCCTCTGCAGCAAATTCTCTTGCTTTCCTAATATCGTGTGTGAATGCAGTAGTCTTCACGTTCTGACACCTCTGTTTCTATTCCACTTGTGATTTGCCAGTGCTAATGTCAATAATCAGCTGATTCCCTTTATGTGGCCAGTATATCTCATCTCCCACTGTCTTCCATCCTGTAGTTCCCTCTCTTCCTGGTGAGTGTCGATGTTTCTTTTAGTAAGAAAGTGACGAGCACTTGCAAGAAGTGCACTGAGCTGGGAATGGGTGGAGTAGGTGGAGTCGAAGTCAAGCAAGCAAACTGTCAGGCTGTGAATTGACCTTTGTGGGCAGCATGTCTGCGGAAAAAAGGTTTTTTTAGCCTTCTGTCAGAGAAACATATTTGTCGAGGGTACAGTATTGGCAGCTGGTGATTGGAGCGGATTAAGGGCCGGTGAATTGGCAGCAAGGAGAAGACCTGAAAACATCCTCTGCACCCTACCTTAGGGATGACTCAAGACTTGTATAACCAGGAAGCTGGCCTAGGATGTGCTAGCTCAGGCACTCCACAGGCATGCCATTGCAAATCCTGTAGATAGATGTATGTTTAAAGATATCAGGTGCTTCTGAAAGTGCTGCAGTGTTAGTGTCAAGCACAAGAAAGGGGACTTGGCCCTGAGTCCATGTTTCTTTCCCGCTGCAGTATGACTTGGAATGAACAGAGAAGGCCAGAAATGGAAAGAGCACCAAAAAACCATGATGAAGGGTAGTAAGTTTACACACCTGCCCCAGCCAAAGCCAAGCTTGCAGAGGAAGCCTGTGTCCCATTATGTCCTGCTTGTTCACCCTTCTCACATGACAGCAGGAAACAGTAGACAGGTCTAGTAGCTGTTGTATTAGGATTATTTTACTGGGCTTAGAAGTTTATCCTTCATACCTAAAGAACTCCTACAGGTAATTAATTACTGGTAATATGTATTGACACCTTTTGCTCTGAGGGCCATCTAAGCCATACCAGAATTTGGACTTCAAACTAGCCACTGTGAATTTTGGTGGAGACAAATCACATCTTCTTAAAGACCAGGTTCTCTGAGTTATGGTACAAGGAACTTTAGCTCATTTACTGCATTTGCTTTGACTTCCCTGACACCAAGATTCTCATGCAGTCTTTGCTCTGCAACTGTATTTGGATGTCATTGTGCAGGATCCTCTGACATTTGGCCTTGAGATCACAGCCCTGACATCATTGCCCCTGTCAGCCTTCCTCTCTATGCCTCCTGTGTCCTTGTAATTAGAGTGTGGGGATGTGTTTATTGAGGCAGCACTGGAATTACCATCAATCCAAAATATCTTTTGCTGCTGCTTCTGCAGAGTAATGGGAGTTACTCATCTTCCAGTCAACTCCTGTGGTCATTTTCCTGTCACTTAGCAGCTGTAAATGCATTGCATCTGCTTTAGTGGACAGAAAACCATTATGGTTGGGGGAAAAAGAAAAGAAAGGTATAATGAATGTAGGTAAAATGCTGAGTTGGAAGAATTTTGCAGAGCTGACCTTCATGCTGGGATTACTTTATCAACATTCTTTCTCCAGGAGTTGGAGGAGTACTTTATTGATGTGGATTTAAATAATTCCATCAGTGCTTTCTGCACCACTCTGGCAAGAGTGAGAGACTTAGAACTCTAACAGGTTTGGAGTTCATCTGGCCTGTTCAGGGGTCTTTGTAGTTTGATACACACCTTGCAAAGAATTGGTAGCAGTAACAGGTGAAGTTAGATCAGTGCAGAAATTCATGTGGTTGCAGAATAGACAGAAACACTGATCTGTGCTGTTTCTGAAACCGAGGTAAAAATCAAGCTCCAATCAGGCTGAAACAGCTCAGAAAGTTTTACTTGTCTTAGCTTTGAGTCAAGAAGATCCCATTCAGCACAAATTGTCATCTGCTGCTGACACCTACTGTCAGCAGTGAAGTGCTGTTTCCCTTAGGAATGCAAACTGCGTGTCCACATCTGACTATTAGAAAACCAGCCAGGCCCCTTGGGTCATAGTGCAGTGTGAATCTGTCACGGCAAGCTCGGGTGGTTAATTCTACGTGCTTTCCTCCATAACAGGTGGAAGGATTTATTTCTTTTTTAACAAGGAGTTGGGGACTAGGCTGTAACTAAGGAATGTATATAGAGCTGAAACAACGCAAATATAAGTGATGAGAGGAAGATCACACTTGATTCAGGTAGTCCAGTTTTACTTAAGATACTAATACATTCCCTTTAGCTCAGATAATGTAGCTGCTAAATAAAAGTTAGTGTTTGGGTAGATACTGATTTTACATTGCAAAGCTGCTTTGGATATAGCTGAGAAACAGAACTCTCTGCAGCAGCTCAGAGAGAAACCCAGCACGAACCATCTCCAATGGGATTCAACCAGAGCAGAGTAGGGAGCAGGGAGCCCCAGACAGGAATCAGGGAGTGTTTCTAGCCTGAACGTGCTACCGAGGCATCTGTTCCTCTCCAGTCTTTGTTTGCTTAAGCACCTGAGAGGCCTCATGGAGCAACGAGTGCTACCACTTAGCCTCAGCTTGGCAGTCCTCCAAGCCAAGAGGCTGTGGGTGAGGGAAGATTGTATTTTATGACCTTTGGACAGCATGTCAGGAGAGGCCCGGGAAGACAGCTGAGCTGCAGGAATGTTTTATGCCCTGGAATGACAAATAAAGCAAGGGTATGGAACAGTCAGCAGAAGAGAGCTTTAAAAAGAGATGTAGAATGCTCTGGTGGAGCCAGTCAGCCCACGGAAGGGTGTTCTTGTGTACTGTGGCTGCAGCACACTGAAGGAGCTACATCCCCTAGTCTGCATGTGGCTCATGAAGACCCTGTATTAATTCAATTGCTGGGTCAGGCTGTCCTGACTGTTCTCTTGCTCTCCTCCCAAATGCATGGCCTAACCATACATCTTTACAATCTTTTCAGCTCAGAGACAAGGTGCACCTCAAAACAAAGGCCTGACTTATGAAACTTGCCACTGCAGCATGTTTTAAAGGCCAAACCTAAAGATAAAAAGGAGGGGATTGGGTGATTTTACATAACAACAACATGTCAGTGACTGAGCCATTACATGACTTCTGACTCAAAAATCCCTAGAACTTGAATTCCAGAAGCAGAAGGTTTTGATGGCCTCCATCAGAGTTGGGGTACTGGGGTAGGCAGAGCTTTCCTCCAAGGCAGTATGATAGCTCTTACATCATTATCTACGGGCATAAGGATCTACTTATACTAAGCACAGCTTCCTAGCACAGAAGGGTAACACTGACTGAAAAACACTTTGTCCAGTATGGTTTACTGAAACTCTGCAAACAGCGTAGCTCTAATTGCACTAAAGCATTTGCTGGTATAGGGGGAAGAAGAGAAGAGTACAGATATTTTGTGTTCCTGTCCCAGTATGTGTTCTTGGTAAAAAATTTAAATGTAGCCCAAACTTCCTAATAACGTTATCATAATTGTCCTCAGCATTTCTGTTAGACTGATCATTTCAGTAAGCAGTTGCCCTTACTGCGTTCAGACATTTTCACACTTTGCAGACAAGTCTGCTAAACAAGTGTTAATTTCTCAAAGTGCCAGACAAGGGCAG